TTTAATTAAAAATTTAGGATATATTCTAGGAGTTAAACGTAGGTTCTGGCAATCATAATTAAGGCAAGTGCATTTCTTGTCATAAAAAATTTAAAAAAAAAGAGACAGCTTACCAATGGCATTTTTTTTTTTTTTAGTTGTATAATGAGATACAATTATTTTTTATTTTTTATTTCACTTTATTCATATATCATATAAATCAAACATAAAAATTTTTATTTTTAATAAAAAAAATTATTAAATTATTTAAATTATTAACTACGCCTGAGATGTACTTTTGTATAAAGTTTTTAATCAACACATGGATGATCTGTTTCGGATCAAATTCGATAGTACACGCAGATTATTATTATTATTATTTTTTTAAAAAAAGCTTTTAATAATGGGCTAGTGGGTACTATGCCCTACGCGTGAAGGAGACGTGGACTCCTACTTTTATTGAATAGGCCTCTTTAGCCCAATGCCAACCTCCATGGGTCAGCCGATTTTAGGTTTCCTTCTAAGGCTGTAAATTTCCCTTTTTGTTTATGCTATATCTATCCTCTTGAAGAAACAAACCTAACCATTCTCACCTGAAATTGAAAATGAGTGTTTCCAACAAATAAATTTCAGGATTGATGAAGTTTTTCAATGTTAAAAATTCTTAATTTAGTCTCTAAAAGCTAAAATTTTTAAATTTGATTCAAAATTAGTTTTTTTATTAAAAAATAATTGTATATCGTATTACTAATATAAAAGATAATTGTTAAGTATTAGACATATCATCTGTTTTTTAACAAAGAAACTAATTTAAAGTTAAATTTAAAAAATTGTGAGAATTAAATCAATTTTTTTAATTTAAGAATTAATTCAAAGATGACCAAATTTAGGGGTTTAACTAACCCAATTTGGCAGCTAAGGTTATCATTGGCTTTTTTCTGAGTAGCTTGTGTAAAGATAAAAACTTTTGAATCTTTGCAAGGTTATACAGTATAGTAAGAGGTTGGGGTTACTTTGATACTACCGACAGTGACAATGTCATGAATTCTTCTACCTCTTACCACTAACTGACATTGATGGTGAGGTGAGAGGGGGGAAAACAGGCGCCAGAAACAATAATAAAGAGGGGGGAGAGAGACTTTTGGGGCTGGGGGGAATCAGGCATGTGGATGAGTGGATGAGTGGGGGACACACCAAACTCATCAATTAAACACCTTGGAAATTATTGAGTTTGTGACAGAAAAAGGGGGAAAAAGAAAGCACACCCTCAAACCCAAGAACTCTGCCTATCTTTGATTCTCTCTCTTTTATGTCTTTTTGCTTGTACACTACTGCATTCTTGGTCAGTGTGAGCAGAAGGAAAACCAAAACCATAAGCAACCACCGGTTTCTACAGAAGCCTTGGCCTTTGTACATTTCTCTCCATTCTTCACTCTAGCTCAAGGAGAATTACTGAAGATGCCTAGAGCAGGGTCAAGATCTTATGTGTGTGAGAGGAGAGTTTGGCACAGTGATATGCACCAAGCCATGAGAGGTTCTCTCATTCGGGAAATTTTCAGGTATCTTTTTGTGTGCAGGTATGTTTTTTTGTGTAATTTGTTGGTCAGTACTCATTAGAGTCTTGCTATGCACCTGATTTTTTCAGAGTTGTTCATGAGATTCACAGCTCAGCCACAAAGAAGAACAAGGAATGGCAGGAGAAGCTTCCTGTTGTTGTTTTGAAAGCTGAAGAAATTATGTACTCCAAGGCCAATTCTGAGGTAAAGACTTTTCCTTTTTGCTGTTCTTCGGTTGAAATTTGAAGCTGTTTGGCTCCCATTTCTTTAAATTTGCAGATGAGAACCGAAGTGCCAAACTTTGATTATTAGGTGTTGGCCTCTGTTTTTTTCTTGAATATTCTGAGGAAGAGAATTATTTATTGGACAAATTTGGGTTTGCTAACTTAAACATGTTGTCATGCTCACGCATTGTAAATATTGCTCTGGCTGAATATATGGATCTTAAAACCCTTTGGGATTGATCCAATGACGCCGTTAAATCTGTTTACCTCCCATCTGTTTAAATTTGAATATGTTTACCTCCCATTTGCTTAAATTTGAAGATGTTAACCGAATTGCCAAACTTTGATTTTTAGATTTTGGCCTCTCTGCATTTCTTGAATATTCTAAGGAAGAGAATTTGGGTTTGTTAACTTAAACCTGGTTTCATGCTCATGCATTCTAAGTATTGTTCAGGCTGAATATATGGATCCTAAAACTCTTTGGGATCGAACCAAAGATGCCATTAACACAATCATTAAACGTGATGAAAATACTGAAACTGGAGAGTTTCTTCAACCTTGTATTGAAGGTACCCTTACGCTCTCAACTATTGCTTTTAGTTGTCCCTTTTTTGAAGCTATATATGCAATTGGTGTTTGTTTCTTTAAGATAGTATCAATTATAACGAGGGATTGCTTAAAATGTCAGCACCACATTGTATGATTCTTGTAAAGTTTTATTAATACTATGTGTGTTGATTCTTCTCTGTTTTGTTACTGGTTAGCTGCTCTCAATTTGGGCTGTAAACCTTGGAGAACCTTGAGGAGCCAACGCTATAGTACGCAGAGAAGTTACCTTAACACTAGCTGCCAAGAAGGAGAGAGCATTGTCCAAGGAGATCATACAATTAACTCACAGTATATCGCTTATTCTGTGAAACCAACAACCATGAATGTGACTCATTTGGGATCTGAATCACAAGACCCTGCTGTGCAGAATAATACTAACTCTGCAGCTTACAGATTTCCCTTTGCATCCGTGAATGTCACTTCTCCAGGTAATAACCATTGCTCACCTATATAGCATTATCCTGTTTCAAGTTTATCTTAAGTTTATCCACTTTATTATGGAACTTACTTTCAATTTGAAGAACCCCGGCCTGGATTGGGAATATTGCCTCAGTCACATTCCAGAAAAGTGGGGGCTGTGGAGCCTGCTGAAGTGGGAGTTACTCAGAGCCTATTATCTTGTGATGTACACATTTCGAACAAGATCACTCAAGTAGATGTCAGGGATATTCCTGTGAAGCCACATGAAAATGTCTGTGACCTATCATTGCGGTTGGCCCCTCTTTCTGTACCTTGCTTTAGTGCTACAAACAGTGACTTTCAGGAAATTGAAGATGCCGGTTCCACTGCTCAAGACTGGAATAAGACCACTGATATTTCACCCCCAATTGGTGAAAAGGTATCCTTTCTTCCCAGTAGCAATGGGTATGACCCCTTAAATTCATGTTCAGACAAGTCAAATGTTCAAGGGGAATGTATTAATGTCAATGCAAAAATGAGAAAGCGGAAGGCTGTGCTTTGGCCATATGAGGATCAGCATTTTGGTTGGCAGCCAAAGCGTCTTTCTGCCCACTTAACCAGAGAACGTTCATAAAATCCGTTGGTTGCTTCAGACATTTATCGTGGCCTGGTATGCATAGTTGAAGCCTCTTTTTTGCCATATTCTGTATTGCAAGAATATATAGTGTCAATATAGACCGGGATTAAGTTTGATGAATTTATTATGGAGAAAAGATCACCAGAGAAGCACTTTGGATCTGATGTACAAATCTATGGTGTTATGCTGTGCCCCTTTTATAAAATGCTGCCCTTGAGCTTTTTCAATATCACCTGTCTAGTACTTTGAGAACAAAGCTCTAGTGACACTCCAATGGGATAAAGTTCTATCTCCATTCTATTTTTGAGAAAAGAACAAAGAAGAGACTATTCATTGCACATGCTCTAAGATCTGCTACTTTTTTTCCCCCCTTTTATTTTTGGTTAGAGAATTCAGTTTGGTATCAAGTTTAATTTGATTAAGATGGTTAGGAAAACTGAACTAATGGAAAAAGATGGTGTTTTGCTTGTCTGAATAGGGACAGGAAATCTAACTAGTACTAATCTTATTGGAGTCAATATGCCTGGTGAGTGGGGTGTGAGTGAGGGTGGACCCCTATTTTAGTTGGCCCAAATTAGGAAGGGTTAGAAAGAAATCATTGATGATTGAAAGTGGAGTTCCTTTTTTTGCATGTTTTAGATGTGGGTTATGTTTATGGAGGCTGTGTAGTCATCTATACAGGTGGGGTCATATCATTGGTTTTGAGCTTGTTATTGTGGAGAATATGGGACCATTCTTGTTGTCAAGTCTGCTTTTTAAAAAATGGGATTTCCAAAATGTATTTGATGGTGAGTTTAGTGTTCTGAGAAAATATGCATGCATTCATACATACTTCAATCTCACTTGCTGGTTAAGACACAAGTCCTTTTATGTATCCCCTGCAACTCTCCCTTGGGCTACTGGCCTGTTAAGTAGGTATCTGTCTCGGGCCTTAGGTTTAAAGATTGGAGGCTTGGTAGTTGGTACTCTCCCTTGGGCTTACTTTTTCTAGTCTGCAGCATTCACCGGCCCACATTGTCGTGTCCAGTTGTTGTGGGTTTCCCACCTTGATTTTAGCCCACGTCTCAGCATGGTTTTCATCTTTCTGGGCCATCTTGGGCCTGGTACGCCTCTTCTAGTCTTCTTCTTATCCTTCTCTCTCTCTCTCTCTTTCTTTCTTTTCTTTAATTTACAATTTTGCAGGTGAGGTTTTTTCTTTTTGGTTTTTATTATTGTTTTCTTTCTGAAGCAACAATTAAATTTTAAAAAAATGGGTAGTGGAGACATTACCCACATTCTTTCTTAACAACGGTATATGTCCAGATTAGGGGGCCAAATAGAGTATATACATACATATCCTCCTGGACTGGAGAGCACTCATTTTTTATAATCATTTGTTGAAACTTGTAAGCCTTTAATATTACCTAATGTGTATTTTAATTGAATAGTGTGTTCTTAACCGGTGAAGGCGATGGGAATGTAAGAGTTTGGAGATGTCAACAAAGGCAGCACTGAGTTGGAAGGAAATTGGAAAGCCTTCCACTGTAGGGCATTAGGGAGTTGGTTAACCAAAAATAAAAAAGTGTTGTCCAGTAAGAGGTGGGCTTTTTGATATTAAGGCATGTTTCAATATTTAATAATTTATGTTTTATAATTTAAATTATAAAATTAAAAATTTATAAATTAATTATTTTTAATATTTATGATCATGATGCTTTTAGGTTAAATTACATGTATTTCAAGATTATAGGTTAAATTACATGTATTTCAAGATTAATTTCTTTTTGGACAATCTTAAAGATGCATTTCATAATTTAGTGTATTCAAAAAAATTAATTTTTTTTATATATTAATTACAAAATTTAAATACTAAATATAACTTACTGATATTTTTTTATCAATAAATTGATTAATTATTAACAATAGAAAATATATCACATCAAATGTCTCAATTCATCATTATTTTTTATTCGTTCCTCTTTGACTAACAGCTATCTGAATTTCACTTCTTTAAACATGCATTTGGTTAAACGGATTAGGATAAGACAGCT